CGCTGAGATCGACAAAGACCCAGTGAAAACAATGGTGAGTCGGTTTTGTTTACTGTTTAGGGTAAATCCTACGCTCGTGGAGCTAAGGGGACACATCATTAGTCCAATATTTCCATTGGAATAAGTGTGAAGATGCGATGTTTTAACTTAGATAAGGGAGAGTGGGGTAAAATGGCCCCCTTTGACTTTTTTTTATGATAGGGGCGGGTGGGGTAAAACGGACACTGGACATTTCTAAAATTATTCATAACTCAGAAACAAATTGATCAATTGAGCTCAGTTTAGGCTCGTCACAAAGGGGAGAAATTGGTCTTTGTATTGAAAAAAAAAATGATTGAATTTTATCAACATTTCAACCCCTCATTAACATTTTTAAAAAAGTAAAAAATGTCCGTTTTACCACAATTTCCCCTACTCTTGTGGTTGCAAAATGAGCGTAGGATCAATGCCATTTCCATTTTAGTGGTTATAACAGAGTGAAAGTGATAAGAACAAGTGTGTGAAGTGAACTTTGACCAATTCTGAAGAGCATTCAGGACATCTAGAGCTCTCCAACATCTCAGCTTTGCAGGGAGGCGCGGGGTGAGTGGCAAAAATTCATTGCATGAATATTGTCGAGGCGAATAACAGAATGCGACCGATAATCACTGATTTATAAAATTTGTCATTTATTGATGAAATCATGGTGACGTGGGAAAAATTCTCACCTTATCCTTTGCACTTATGCAAACATATACGCACACACATATCCATACACACATTTGTCATGAATATATGTCATATTTCATTAATAGGACTTATGATTCTTCAAAATCAATTATATGTATAGTTTTATACAGTATACAGATTAGAACGAGCACTTATTTGTTTTTTTTATCTCCTTCAATTTATCTCTCTCAATCAAAAATTTACAGTGGTCGCGTGCACACGAGGTGGTTAACAATTACGTCTCTTCAATATCAATTTAATTCAATTTCTTTTGTCAATAATAATTAATTGTCAGTGGACAACTGATATGCGCATCATTAAGTTGATATTTCAGGCCTAGTTTAGAGTTTCAATGAGTTTTTCTTCGTGATAATGAACATGGTAATGCTTCTGTATTATTCTTAGATTTTCTACTTTAATTATCTCGATGATGGGTGATTCTAGGGGGAATCACGGTCTTGATATNAAAATGTCCGTTTTACCACAATTTCCCCTACTCTTGTGGTTGCAAAATGAGCGTAGGATCAATGCCATTTCCATTTTAGTGGTTATAACAGAGTGAAAGTGATAAGAACAAGTGTGTGAAGTGAACTTTGACCAATTCTGAAGAGCATTCAGGACATCTAGAGCTCTCCAACATCTCAGCTTTGCAGGGAGGCGCGGGGTGAGTGGCAAAAATTCATTGCATGAATATTGTCGAGGCGAATAACAGAATGCGACCGATAATCACTGATTTATAAAATTTGTCATTTATTGATGAAATCATGGTGACGTGGGAAAAATTCTCACCTTATCCTTTGCACTTATGCAAACATATACGCACACACATATCCATACACACATTTGTCATGAATATATGTCATATTTCATTAATAGGACTTATGATTCTTCAAAATCAATTATATGTATAGTTTTATACAGTATACAGATTAGAACGAGCACTTATTTGTTTTTTTTATCTCCTTCAATTTATCTCTCTCAATCAAAAATTTACAGTGGTCGCGTGCACACGAGGTGGTTAACAATTACGTCTCTTCAATATCAATTTAATTCAATTTCTTTTGTCAATAATAATTAATTGTCAGTGGACAACTGATATGCGCATCATTAAGTTGATATTTCAGGCCTAGTTTAGAGTTTCAATGAGTTTTTCTTCGTGATAATGAACATGGTAATGCTTCTGTATTATTCTTAGATTTTCTACTTTAATTATCTCGATGATGGGTGATTCTAGGGGGAATCACGGTCTTGATATTTACCCCTAAAACCACTCGTATCGGAGATCAATTCTGTATTTTATTCTAGACTATGGGAACGTGCAAAAAATTTATAAATATGCGGTAAACTCCAGTGGAGATTGATATACGTTTGTTTTTTTTTCGTTTTTAAAATCTACACCGGTTCAATTATTGCAGCTAAATTTGCTCGCAGGACGGGAGTACAGACATAGATAGGATAGACTCTTCTAATAGACTTTGCAGACCAACATAATAGAAATAGATTTACATATAAAATTCGGTAATATTTCATCTCTAATAATTCCATATTTCTTGTCTGATATATTTCATTCTCAATATATTTTTCTTCATTATTCTTTTCCATAATTTTGTCTGTCATTTTCACTGTGGCATTTCGCTCGTTATTTATGTCAATCGTTTCAATTATTCTGCCAGCCTCTCTATCAAAATTCACTGTCATTGCAAATTCATCGAGTGATTAATCCTTCGGAAATTGGTGAAGCATTTTGTCATAATTTTTTTTTCGCGTAAAAATTCGCCACTAGAAATTTTTCTATAAGTATCACACGAGATTCCTTACAGCCGATTTCCTGGGTGTAGTCTTAGGTAACACATTTGTTTGTTTGATTATTTTCAATCTTCTCAGTGATCAGCTTCAATTAAAATTTCAGAAATGAAAAAAGCAAACGTGTAGTACATGTTACGAAATTTTTTTTTGACATTTTCTTGCAGAGTCACTCATCAACGAGATAAACCCAGAAATTCTCTGAATGAAACAATTTAATCTCTAATGGATTTTTCATTACTTTCTTTTCTCCCACTTGCTTTGTATGTGATACTTATTCTCGTTGGGAAATGTTGAGAACTGACAGTGGAAAATTTCACAAGCTCTCTCTCTATCTCCACATAATAGCACGAATGGGATACAAAATCTAGACAGAGATGAGGTACATCAAGCGTTTTCCCTACATACAGTGATACTACAATGCCTACTCGGTGCACAAAGCCAGTAGCCCATGTTTTTTTTCTCTCTTACCAACAAACAAATAGTCTTTTGTGTCGTCATCCTTTCACTGTTACCTAGATATTTCAATAGCACTAGATTTAACTCATAACTTACGGCTAACATTATTCATAATAACAATTTATTCGTCACGCGGTTCTTTCGCCTTTTTCATTTGTCTCCTAGGATTTATTATCAACTTACTCGTCATTTATTCATCTGCAGGGAAAAATAATGACTCAGACCCCGAAAAATTGACTACTTGTTATATTTTTTTCCCGGTTGACAGGTCTAATTTGTTGGGAAGTGGTCAGAGGAGATCAGTTTTCTGAGAAAATTTTTTGATAATTATTTTCCGAAATATTTGATCTTGATGACGCCTCGTTCAGAAGGTTCATATAATCTCTCGAACTCTTTTCCCAGCCTCATCTCCTCTCCCACAACCTCATTAATTCCTTCCTCACATTTTAATCAAAATTAATAATTCATTTACTTACTCACTAGTCATTTTCCTCGTTTCGCATATAAATTTTACACTTTTTAGTTCGTTTATTACACTTTTTTTCCACTAACGATGATGTGTATAGTTATTGACACTGGGGTACATCCCCCCAAATTTGTATTATCATTATAATTAAGAAATAAAACGCTCGAAATGTGAAAATCGAAATGAAATATATTCGTTCAAGTGGAAAAAATGAAAATAAAATTCATTGAAATAATGTCTACAAGACCCTGTAGGTAATCACGTGACACTCCAGTCGTAATGAGAAGATGAAAACTCGCAAGTCTAATAAAAATTCTCTAACGATTATCTGGATTCATTATTGAAGTGCCAACCAGCCAAATTTTACTTCAAAATTAATAATATATAATAATTCTCGCGAGAAATTTCTCAAAATTTCCTTATAAAATCAATGATTACCGAAATAATTGTGAAATTAGAGAGAAGAGGACTGAAAATGTGGATAATTTATAATTATTTCAGACGTCTTCCGAATTAAAAAAAATATTTTTAAAGTCTCAAGAAGATATTCAGGAAAAATCGAAACTAAAATTGAGTTTAGTTGACTCTTTACCACTTCAGTAGTGAATTAATCTTCGAAAATGCTTCAATTCTTCAATTAATTACTCTCTACACTGTGTCCTATTCTTTTGGTATTCCTCCCATCAACATTACCATTATCATTATCATCATGTAGTGTATAAAAGCCAAGCGATAATCGGTGCAATGTAGAAATTACAGTGGGCCCATGAAGAACTAACGTTTCCTTTGGATTCAGCGACAGTGCAAAAAACATGTGGTGTGATATTTCGTCACTCTGAGGTTTATCATTATTCAGCATTATTCAAATATTACTTCTGTGTTTTATTTATTTTAATTCTCTGTTGTTCATCAACAAAAACTGAAGCTAAACATGATCAATTTGTGGTAATTATTCTCTAGTTCGTCTAGACCAAGGGCCATTGTTTTATTGAATATAAACTTCTGATTAGTTTCAAGAATTCAACGTTTTGATTGAGTGGTGAAGTGGTGGAAACGGCTTTTGACGGAATTGAAGGGATTATTGTAGATGACAAAACGAAGGCAGAAATTAGAGTACGCTGAGATGAAGGAGTTTGGGAATGAGTCAGTGTTCGATGAGGAGTAGCAGTAGCGAAGTGGTAAAACGGTTCAAGTCAATTTTGACTATTGGCCAGTTTTCAATGAGTATCTGGGAATCTAAGCCAGATAGCAAAATTTTTGTTTCAACCTTTTTTGCAGCTCTCAATTCGCTCTACAAAAGAAGTTATTACAGAAATTTTGCTATCTGCCTTAGATTCGGAGATATTTCCCAAAAACTCAACTGGGAAATGAGTTGACTTGAACAGTTTTAACAGTTCTGTATTGAATTACGCTCATTATCGATGTCCAAAGTCTAGGTGACTTTTATCCCTGTGATTTTTTTTTTCTAGTTATGTTTTCAATGAAATCCAGCTATATTTTTTACCAATCCTGGGTTTAGAGAAAAATGTCAAGAGACATTTTTGATAAACTTCCTTGTAACTTCAGAGATACTTGGAGAATAATAATGATGATAGATAATCACGTGTAAAGTGATTGTTTAATTATTATTTGTTGAACCATCTCGGTAACTGGTGGGTCCAGAGTCGAATGTCAATAAACCCCTTTTAACTTTAAAATTTTTTAAATAAACCTCCTAGTCTTCAAGTTATTTGCAAAAATAACTTGGACGTGCGACGGCCAGAAGCCAGTGAATCAGATCAGAAACTCGGAGTAGAGACTACCATTTGACATGAAATTCATTTTTCCACCACTTCACCAAATTCTCTTCTCACTACTAAACAAACAAATCCACAACAAAAACAATGATAATTCAGCCTCACGAACATGTCGGAAATTACATAAATATTTACATAGTATTAAAGCCTTTTCTCTGTATTTTTACTGGACGTTTTATCCACATGGTTAAGGCGATTTTTCGAATTAATCGAAAAATCCGATTGACAAGGAATACGTGGTGAAAATTCTGGGATTAAATCAAATGAGAAAGGGTAACCAGACGGAATAGAGATACATCACTACCCCCTTATTCATACTCCGATAGTCAGTGAACGTATGAATGCAGGCGTACGATTGAATGAAAAGGAGGTTGGGGGGGGGGGGAAGAGAGGATCGAAAAAGGGGATATTAATCTGTATTCAGCAGATTCCACAAATTTCCATATCGTAATTCTGTGCTTCGTGATTCTCTCGAACTAGAGCACTGCAGCATGAGACTCAGGGAATACACGTGTGAGTATTTGTCGCTTGTTCGGGAGAGGATAGGGTTACCGAGAAGTCGGAATCGAGGACTAGATCACTGATGCAACCGATTATACCTCTCTCATAGCGACCGTCTGTTGTTCTTGTTACGTCTGGTGCACCTCCTGAAAAAGACAATTGTTCTTGATTCCGTTTTTTTTTTTTTTTTTTTTTTTTTTTTTTTTTTTTTTTTTTTTTTTTTTTTTTTTTTTTTTTTTTTTTTTTTTTTTTTTTTTTTTTTTTTTTTTTTTTTTTTTTTTTTTTTTTTTTTTTTTTTTTTTTTTTTTTTTTTTTTTTTTTTTTTTTTTTTTTTTTTTTTTTTTTTTTTTTTTTTTTTTTTTTTTTTTTTTTTTTTTTTTTTTTTTTTTTTTTTTTTTTTTTTTTTTTTTTTTTTTTTTTTTTTTTTTTTTTTTTTTTTTTTTTTTTTTTTTTTTTTTTTTTTTTTTTTTTTCAAGACGATTAATTGTTATTTGTCCCTGCCCTTCACCTGTATTCAACTCTCAACTGTTCCGGAGCTTACGCGTAGACCACAAGGGTTGAAAGGTTCAAATAAAACAATTGATTGTTATTTGACCCTTCTGACTCTTATGATAACCTTCGTAAACCCTTTTGGAGCTTGATTTTCCCTCCAAATCTCATAGAATCATAAAATCAAAACCGCTCACCTATAAAAAGTCCCGTATCTGTATTTAACTCTCTCAACTGTCCCGGGGATGAGGCAGAAACACTAATACCACTGTCCACCACCAGAGATGCCCACTGCTCATTCCTGAAACGTCAATGAATCACCAGTAAATTACCGAATGGAGAGAGAATCAATGGAGACACTAATAAAGGTAACAAGATTGTCAACTTGTATTACCTGACAACTCTGATGCGATGCCACAGGTCGTCATCCAATCTCGTGAGATTATATCTGAGAATTGCCTCGCCAGATCCAAGATTGTACGCCAGCGTGAGATATCCCTGATTCAAGCCAACCGCAAGAAAATCATCGTTCTGCTCCTTTTGCTCCTGTGGATCTGATTGCCTCCCACTCCACAATAGCAAACCGTCGCTAGTGCTCGTTCTGAATCTCATGTTTATATCAACGCGATAACTTATGATTCTGAAAATTAAATATTTGCACTTATCAATTGGTGACGACTATTTTTTATCATGAAATTCGGAATTCTTGATCACTATCAGGATTGAAAAATTTCTAGTGGCAAATTCTTACGCGAAAAAAAAATCATGACAAAATGCTTCACGAATTTCCGAGGGATTAATCACTCGATGAATTTACAATGACGCAGTGAATTTTGATAGAGAGGCTGACAGAATAATTGATACGATTGACATAAATAACGAGCGAAATGCCACAGTGAAAATGACAGACAAAATTATGGAAAAGAAGAATGAAGAAAAATATATTGAGAATGAAATATATCAGACAAGAAATATGGAATTATTAGAGATGAAATATTACCGAATTTTATATGTAAATCTATTTCTATTATGTTGGTCTGCAAAGTCTATTAGAAGAGTCTATCCTATCTATGTCTGTACTCCCGTCCTGCGAGCAAATTTAGCTGCAATAATTGAACCGGTGTAGATTTTAAAAACGAAAAAAAAATAAACGTATATCAATCTCCACTGGAGTTTACCGCATATTTATAAATTTTTTGCACGTTCCCATAGTCTAGAATAAAATACAGAATTGATCTCCGATACGAGTGGTTTTAGGGGTAAATATCAAGACCGTGATTCCCCCTAGAATCACCCATCATCGAGATAATTAAAGTAGAAAATCTAAGAATAATACAGAAGCATTACCATGTTCATTATCACGAAGAGAAACTCATTGAAACTCTAAACTAGGCCTGAAATATCAACTTAATGATGCACACGAGAAATTGAATTAAATGGATATTGAAGAGACGTGTCAACCACATCGTGCACGTGACCGCTGTAAATTTTCGATTGAAACAAACTGAAGGGGAAAGACTGACACTTGACACCCTCTACATATTCCTCGAACCACCAAAAATAATCGGACCCAATTTCCGTTGGCCCAGGCAAAACAGAGTCATCCACACAGCCATAAATAAAAAAATTGGATCGTCATCCAAGTTTCCATTACCTTTTCATAGTATCCGCATCGTTGTAGTGAAGATAACTATCAATTCCCGTAAAACTAGGTACACTCCTCTCCAGTCTCTCTAATCTTGTAGCAGCAGATGTGCTGGGATTGAACAGTACAGTTTGCTGCTGAATCGTCATCCCTTCCGTTGCTGGACAAGGATGAGGCAGTCCTGTCCCGCATCTACAAGTAAATCGCTCCCTGTATGGACGACACTCGGCGTCACCGCATGGTCTCGCTTCACACGCGTGACCACAATTTCCAACATTCACTCCACCGAGTGCCTCTGCCAAGATCCCAATCTGTTACAGATGAAAAAGAAAATGATGAAAAAAAAAAAAAAAAAGGAATTAAAGTGCAACTGGGAGATTAATGAAATCTCGCAAAACCCAGTGTACAGGGAAAAGTTCATTCTGCCCCTGCAGCTGTGCTTGAAAAACATTTAATAAACGCGTTTGAGTGGAGAAAAGGTGTTGGGGGTTCATTCAAATTCTGGGGTGCTGTAAACTCAATTGTAGAGTTGAGTTGAGAGCGGACAGTTAATTTATACTTTACTTGGAGCATTGTTTCGGGAACAATTTTCATTCGAGGGGATTTCAAACGAATTTTCTACATTCCTTCGTGGAGCTGGTAGGTTTAGGGATGGTATTACTCGGGGTATTTATCTGCTGCTATTCGGGGGTGGAGGGAGGGATACGTGACACCGAAAGGGCGAGGGATCAGATCAGAAGGATTCAATAGAGACGATAGGTTTAGGATTGAGTTGATGGATGTGGTGTTGAACGGCGAAGATGATTCTTCTTTGGAGGAATTTTTTGCGGGGAACATTCATTAGCTTGCTGTGAAAGCTTGAACCCCATGAGCGTTGAATAGAGATTTTTGTGATCTTGGGGCCACTTTGGCCCCAGGTGAAAAAAATTATTTTATTTCGACATTTCTCGCGCCTCCGAGGGTTTCATTGGCATCAGAATCGTTAGTAGATACAGAATCAACCTTCATTTGGCAAAAAAATTCGATTTTGGCGAAAGTCGACATTTTCCCCAAAAAAATCCAAGATGACACCTTTGGTCCCAGGTGAAAAAAAAATTTTTTTTTTACTTTTCCCACATATTATTGAGAGTTCTGGATAGCCCGTCATTTGAAAAGTCGGAATCGACTTTCACTCGGCGCAAAAAATCGATATGGGGAAAGGCGACTTTCCCCCCGAAAAAATCCAAGATATGAAACGTGGCCCCAGGTGAAAATTTTATTTTTTATTTTTTACTTTTCCCACATACTATTGAGAGTTCTGGATAGCCCGTCACTTGAATAGTCGGAATCGACTTTCACTCGGCGCAAAAAATCGATATGGCGAAAGTCGACTTTCCCCCCGAAAAAATCCAAGATATGACACTTTGGCCCCAGGTTAAGAAAAAAATTTTTCTTCGATGAAATCAGCGATGAAACGATGAAATCAAGCCTGTCCCAGGCCTGAGTCACTGAGCCCAGCCAAACCTAGGCTCGTACAGGCTTGTTTCCATTGTCAGCCTCCATAATTCCTACCTGGCTAAAATATGTGAAAATGTTGACATACCTCGCGACCATTAAAAACGACCGTTTGAATGCACCCAACGAAGCTGGCAACAGTCTTCAATTTGGGTGTAAAAATGTCAGTAGACGGAGATCCCCCGAGGTAGAGATTCAGCGGCAATGAGAGTTGGGTAAATGCCCCAGGGGCGAGAATCTCTTGTGCTGGCTCCTTCTCCACGACCAACGACGCCATTCGCCCTGTCCTCGAGACACTCACCTCAAGCCATTCGCCCAGTCTCACCGGCTTCTCACTCCTGAAATTTTTACAATTCTCGATCTTATCATTTTTTCCATTCTACCAGACTTTATGCAACTCTAATGCAATCGTCGGGGATTTTTTCGCGATTTTTATGAATCGAGTTGTAGGAATTTTCATATGAAAGGTGAGAATTCAATTTTCTGCAAGAAATGTCTCAGAATTTCCTCCACATCCTCTAGTGCTCAAGATTTTCTCCCAAAAAATGTCCCTTTTTGTCGAAAATTTTCATGTCCTTGCAACTCTAATGTATTTTATCCATCTAATTGCAGAAATTTCCAGAATAGGGAAACTACATGTCTCGGAATTTCACCTAAACCCTATTCTCAAGATTTTCTCAGAAAAAATGTTCTTTTTATTCGATAATTCAGATCTCCTAATGCAATCGTCAGGGATTCATTCGCAATTTTTATAAATCAAGTTGCAGAAATTTTCATATGAAAGGAGTTTAGAGATATTTTTCGTTGAGAATTCAATTTCCGCAAGAAATGTCTCAGAATTTCCTCCACACCCTCTAGTGCTCAAGATTTTCTCCCAAAAAATGTCCCTTTTTGTCGAAAATTTTCATGTCCTTGCAACTCTAATGTATTTTATGCATCTAATTGCAGAAATTTCCAGAAGAGGAAAACTAAATGTCTTGGAATTTCACCTAAACCCTATTCTCAAGATTTTCTCAGAAAAAAATGTTCTTTTTATTCGATAACTCAGATATCCTCGACTAAATTAACACTACTTCCACTCCCATTTCTACTCTCCCCTCGAAATTTCCCTTTTGTTCCCTAAAATTGCGTTGTTGACCCTATTTGTATTATAATTAGTCCCCTCCGTAATTTGAAGTAAAATGCTCCAGCCCCTATTCGTGCAAAGTAGCTCAAAAGACTCAATCCTCGCTCCAACGTGAAAACTCAGTGTGGCCCGAGCGGTGGAGTAGAAAAACACTTGTGCCACCTTTTTTTCTCTTTTTTTCATCACCAACGATTAACGCCCTTGGGCTGGCAAATGACAGTGCACCACTGAAAAAGCCACAGTTGCTCTTTATCTATGAATATACGTGTCTATACTCTAGCTTCTCTCGACAAAAAAAAAACGTCTGCATGTATGGTAATGAACCCGACATTTACAGTCACCTCAGGGTGAGGATGACGACGAATAAAAGCGCCCGATGGATCGTGCGTCATTTCGTCAATTATTGTCGCTCTGGGGTTTTCATGTCGTTAGGGGTGAATTCTGGAGTGGTGGGGGTTATTCCGAAATTACTGGGGGAATTTATTCACGAAAATCTTGGAATTATTCTCTAGTGGAGAATAATTCAAGAAATTTTCCATGTCAGGGTATTTTTTCATTCTTTTTTTGTTAATTAATTGGAAAATTGATCAATTGACAAATCGATTGCAGCGAAAGTTGATATTTCATGGACAGTTCAGCATTAATTCTGTAGAAAACGATATTGCATTGTATTTAGGGGGAAAAATGATGGAATTTCAATTTTTACTGAAAATTGAATAGAATTTCCAATTTTTGGCGAATTCTGTGGCGTTTACATTCGATTATTTTAACGTTCAAGAATATATTTACATGAATTTTTCTGATTTCTACCAATCTTCAGGGAATAATTGAAATAAAATTGATATTTTCCATTGATTTTTTCCAAAAGCGCTAGATCGTGCGTCATTTCGTCAATTATTGTCGCTCTGAGAATAATTCATGAAACTTTCCATGTCAAAGCGTTTTTTCCATCTTTTTTTGTTAATTGATTGGAAAATTGATCAAATTGACTAATCGTTTGCAGTAAAAATTGGTATTTCATGGACAGGTCAGCAGTAATTCTGTAGAAAACAATATTGCATTGTATTTAGGGGGAAAAATGATGGAATTTCAATTTTTGGCGAATTCTGTGGCGTTTACATTCGATTATTTTAACGTTCAAGAATATATTTACCTGAATTTTCTGATTTCTATCAATCTTCAGGGAATAATGAAAATAAAATTTACATTTTCCATTGATTTTTTCTCAAGAGCGCATTTTTTCCCAAAAGAAAATATGATAGCAATCTTGTAACTTAAAGGCAAAATATTTATTGATAAACTTTCGTCTATAAGAGATAGTTTCATCGTGAAAAGGCCGAAGTAAGACTTGTTTGCGAACTTGTTGGTTTCCCCTCTAAATGCAAAATCTGTCATCCTCTTGATTGAAAATTATTGGCGTGTGATGTAGGAATTATCGAAACAGATTGACGACTATTTCCATTTGAACTTTAATCGACCTACCGTACAGTTGCCGGTCCATTTCCCAAATCAAAGGTGAATTGAATGTGCCCGTTGGCCAGGTATAATGCAATGAAATCACCGGTAGCATCACTGCGATGTCCATTATACAAAATTACTCCATCTGATGAAGTGGGTTTCAGAGTCACTGAGAACTCCAGCCACGACAGCGAAGTATCACCCAAGCCGGGATATTTCAGATAGGATGAGCCGTTGAAGGATGGTACCTAATGAAAGTACTCGTGTTCCATTATATTCGAAAAATAGAATGATGAAATACACTTCAAGAGGGCCCTCTGTTTTCCGCATCAACCCCATGGCTTAATGGAGAAAATGGAAATTCTCTCTGCGAGAAAACATGTCTCCAAGTTGATGAAAAAAATCCACATTAATTAATTAATTCAGTGGAGTGGATAGTTCCAGAGAGAAACATCAATCAAAATGATTTAAACCTGAATTTTGCTCAATCTGCCATCACTAGCTGAATTATCACGGCAATGAGGGGTTTTACGACAAAATATCATAATAACATTTTTGTAGGAAATTTAATTCTCTACAAAAAAGGCCTTATAAAATTTTTTCGTAAAGTCAACAGTTTCTGAGATACTCCCAAAAAACTCCCATCAAATTTTCAGAACCATCCGCTTCACCACTGAATTAATTAATTAATCAACCCCTCACCATAGGAAATTTTTTTATTCCCTCTTATTCACTTCTATTCCTCTGTGTTCTTTCGAGGGAAAACATTCGGTTTCATTTGGTATTCCAGGTGTGCTGAAAGGGACTTCATTGGCACTGGCAAGCACATGACTATTTTATAAATCAAATGTAATTTTACTGAGTCAACGGAAAAACAAACGGAGTACCATTGAATTTTTTTTTTTCTTTCTTCACTGGGGATACGTGTTTCTCATTAAAATGTCAATGAGCCACTCTCTTTCCGTCTCGTTCTAACCATGACCCCTTCCCGAGTGGAATAATAATGAAATGAAGAATACAAATAGCTACAAAGCTTATTTAAGCTCATTTGATGGACTTTATTTATGGGCCCTCGTAATTACGAATTATGCTCACCTGAAGATCTACGCGAGTCTCGCATAAATCACCGGTGTAACCGAGAGGACAGAGGCACACAGCTGTATCTCCTCCTGTAGTCAAACACTTTCCCCCATGGGAGCATGGTACTTTGCTGCATCTATCAGCGGTGCACTCCTCTGTGAACAATTCGATGGAGGTGTGAGTAGATATGGCTGAGAAGTCAGGATTGACAACAAATATAGTTAAACTGTCCAACTGTTTTAGAAGTATGAATGGTTTTAGAAATATTAAATCACGAGGACGGAAGTCACGTAGTCTTTGGGCATCGATAATGAGCACAATTGCTCTCAATCTTCACTCTAGCGCTCCACATCGAACACTGACTCATCCTCCATACACTTCGTCATCCGCAATGATCTATTTTATTCCGTCACTCAGATCACACACATCACCGGAAACCTTCAGCTCGCATAAACATTTTTTCGCAAACTGTCACTCGCTCATATCGAACAGATTGCGACAGCTCGTACTCACAAGACTCGGAACAACCAATTGGGCGCTAATAATTCTCAAACTGTTGTATATTCGACATTCACAAGACTCAAACTAATAGTTTTATTGCTCACACGGCTCAAAGTTCTATATTTCCCACTCATAGAGCCAAACTGTCATACCTTCGATATTCACAGGACTCAAACTAATATTTTTATTGCTCACACGGCTCAAAGTTCTATATTTCCCACTCATAGAGCCAAACTGTCATATCTTCGATATTCACAGGACTCAAACTAATATTTTTATTGCTCACACGACTCAAAGTTCTATATTTCCCACTCATAGAGCTCAAACTGTCATATCTTCGATACTCACGGGACTCAAACTAATATTTTTATTGCTCACACGCCTCAAAGTTCTATATTTCCCACTCATAGAGCCAAACTTTCATATCTTCGATATTCACAGGACTCAAACTAATATTTTTATTGCTCACACGGCTCAAAGTTCTATATTTCCCACTCATAGAGCTCAAACTGCCATATCTTCGATACTCACAGGACTCAAACTTTCACATTTGTCGCTCGCAAATCTAAAACATCTACATTCGACGCTCATAAGCCTCTCACATAAATCAATACACTCGAAGAAGAAAAAATAATCGTCTCTGTCGTTCAATATTGCATCCATTAACTCGTACAATTAACTAATTGTTCTGATTTCGCTCCAAACACGACTGCTATTGCACCTCAACCCCATGAACTCAATCCCCAATCAATCGTCTCCACTTATTCTATCTTTAATTCCCTAATTCAATAATTTCATTAGAAAAAAAACAGTGCACAGAAATAATTCAGACCGGTTGTTTGAATTTTCTCCGGGAATTGTTGGATTATCTCGGCAAGCAGAAAAGTCAGACGAAAATGTCACTGGCTATTTTTTCTTTTCTAAAGAATTCAATTTCCTCCGAGAAAGCATCGGTGTTATTTTCTCTCAAACTGCCTAGCTCCAGCGAAATTCGCAAAGTAATCAACACACAACATTATTCCCCCCAGCTTTCCATCATCATTTCGTGACAGAAATCATCTGAAAGACGTCTCACATGACCTTTTGTGTCACCATCTCTCACCCTCACTCCTGATTTCCGTCGCGTTTCAACCACTCTCTAATTATTTTTTCGTTTGACTTGAATCTCTCTCCCTTTCTCCCCCCCCCCCCCGCCCTCTTTCTCTCTTTTCTTCCTCGAGGGGCTTTTTCCCCGTGTCATTGGTTTGGCATTCCGGTGAAAGAAAACTTCTAGGGCAGGAGCGAACCACCATGGCAGGGGCAAGAGCTTGGGGCTCGTATCGATCCACCCACCAGTGGAGGGCACTAAACTCTCACGACTTGGCTCTCGTATTTTTTTTTCATTCTCTTCCATTTTATTTTGCTTTCACCGAATGTTTGATTCCTTTGATTGTGAGGAATGAAACTTGAACGAAAATTAGCCCCTTGAATTATTCATGCAGTCCGTTTGGTCTCTTACATTATCCATAATTAATTATAAATTCCAATGACGATGACGGTTTTTTGGATGTCTGGTCAATTTGTTTTTCCATCCGATGATTGATCGTTTATGCATGGAGGGGAGAAAATTTGTGAATTGTAGAAACCGTGGATTTTAAGGATATTCTAGTGCTTTGGCTATTTTCTCTACAGTGAAATTATTTTTTACTTTTGTAGTCGAACATCAGAGCTTTCATCATTTTACAATGATTTTGTTATTTAAATTTTGCAGCTCGGAATTGGAATCTCGATATTGAACCATTAGAAAACATTCATGGTTATGGTTGAGAAATTTAATTTTTGTGAAACATATCGAAATACGCGGTAGCGTATCGATTAAATTTCCTTCAGTTGCAAATTACATTGAATTTTCAGTGAAATCTGAAATTTCGTGATTTTTTCTCCCTAAATCGCATTCAGCGTCACTGCCCTGAAAATTCAAGAATATATTTACCAGAATTTTCTGGTTTTCTACTCATTTTCAGGTGAAAATAGAACTGAAATTTACCATTTTCTCTGATTTTTCCACGAAATTCCTTGAAATTTCAGTGGTAATTAAATTAAATAAAAATTTCGGAAAAATTTACCGAAAATTTCAGACAAAATTTTTGACAGTGTATCAGGCTGGTTAATTTCCCTCAAGTAAATCTATTCCAATCCAGAGAACAACTAACCCTTCATCATTTTTTGAATAATTACAAGATGAAAAAAAGTTATCTGAATTTTTCTCTACACACGGAGAGAAATGTTCCGTAAAAATTACAGAACTCAAAATTCGCTCACCGATTACGGAGTCGACTCAGAAAATTAAGTGATGCCATCGCAATTTTCCACAGTAGATTCCGATAAAAATTACGGAACGCTCTGGAAAAATATGACAATTCCGTAAAATTTCCTACAACCACATTTCTGGAATTACGGAAAAGATACGTAATTTTTATTGAATATTTCTCTCTGTGCACTCTGCTTGGCGTCCCGTCAAATTTCCCCCAATGTTCTCTCCCACTTCTCATCAAATAAAACACTCACCAACGTCGAATCCGTTGATGGTGTCGCCCTGGGGCGTGAGTGCCAGACGATAATGATGATCATTCGCCTCGAGATGACGTACGCATCCTCGAAATCCAACTCTGACCGGAAGTCTCTCCAGACCAGTGGTATTACCGGGACCGCCGACGAACAATGGCTCTTGAAACGTTATCCTCGAGAATAATCCCTGCAAAAATAAAGAGAAGGAAAAACCATGGAATCTGAGAATTAGCTGAATGAGAAGAGGACTGGCTATAACGAGTCAGTCCATTGAATAATCTCGGCATACAAAAACCATCGGCAATGCAAAATGAAGTGATGCAGGGGCTCAATACGCCTCTACGATAACATGGAAAAATGCCTCATTAAAATTTAATTAAATTCCTGGTAACCAGACATAAATAAACGAGTTCAAATGGATGGATGAAAATTGAAACATCGGGAATCTGCGCTGCTTCAGCGCGAGGGGGCGGGGGAGGAGGGAAATTACATGAAATGAGAGGGAGAAGTGTGCGAGGGCGTGCGGAAAATATGATGGAAGTATGGAAATATCGAAAGGGGAAACTATTTCGACATTTGCGTCTCCGAATAGAAGCTGTGTATTCAAATTTGAGTTTTAGATTTTTTCGTTACGCTAGCGCTATTGATGCCCCTTTTCCTCTCAGATTCGATACTCCTTTTTCCAATTAATTGTTTATAATCATTCTCATTGCAAATAATCATATGTACCCACCAGCTGTTAAATTTTCATATTACAGTAAATTATTTGTGCATTTTCTAATGAATTAATTCAATCATAGCTTGAAATATTTGCTTCAATGCAACTCTGTCGGAGTTGGAAAATCACACGACAGCTGTATTTTTATAAAATTTTCCTAAAAGTGAATTTCAAATTCATTCATTCCTCAAATTCATTGAATTATGCATGAACAAAATTTTTCTCGCACTAGTCTATCGAAGTTCTGGAATTATTTCATAGCGTCATTTTATCACTTGATTTATACGAGAATTTAAAGAAGAAATATAATTGAACAAAAGAGTACAAAACGGCAAATGATATGCAACAGGAGAAAATGACGTTAAAATGACTATTTGTAATCATATTGTGAATTTATGAGCAAAAATAGCTGTTATATGAAGACAAAAACACTTTCCCACTTATCAACTCTTGCTTCACCTGTAAAACCACTGCTATAAAAAAAAAATTTGGCCTCCTCTTATGGTCAATTGTTTTACGTTTCACCCCTTCGTTTTATCCCTCAAAAGAAACAAACTACATATTTTTGTCTACAAAAACAAACTGGGTTGACGTATTTTTAGAACTCAAGCCCCGATATATCGAATTTTAATTTTCCGTCAAGGCTCAACTCCATTTTCACCTCAAGAACCATTGAAATTTCTCATCAGGAGATATTTCAAGCTCTAATTCAGCAATAATTACAAACAGAAATGGGAGCCACCAATTTCGAGTGTCGCGGTGTGTCTCTGACCGGAGTTGAGTGTTGTCCATGTAATTTTCATCGTAGAACATGTATTTTTACGGCTGACGATAGCCCTCGATTGGATTCACACAAATAACAACTGAAAAGATTGATTATCGTATTCGATTCAGTGTGGGGTGTGGCAACACACAGGGCGCGGTTCAGTGTTATACCTTGCGTTCGAAGGGGGTGGTTTCGGTGGTCATTTATCTCTATATGTCCATGGTATGAAATGACAAACTAGGGTTTGTGCCAAACAACATACCAATACGCTTGGGATACATATGTACAATCGATTGTGTACGTAATCAAATTGCTAATATCTTTTCTCAATTCGATGGTTGTAATTTGGTATTAGTATTTAATCTCCCGTCGGTATGTTGCATTTATGAGCGTATAATGTTGATGAAGACTTGGGAATTGACGTGGTGCCAGTGTAATTTGCGTACCTGTTTTCGGAGAATAGTCCGAGTGAATGAAGGAAAGCCAAAAAGGCTATGTTGTGAAAGTTTGAGAACTGTGAGTGGAAAACATGAGGGCTTGAGGCTTATGAGTATCGGGAGTATGATTGTTCTGATACTATCAATGTCAAAGACAGAACTTTGAGCTGCGTGAGTAATTGAAAATGTGAGTTTGAGTCCTGCTGCTGTAATTTTGAGTCTTATGAGCATTTGGTGTCATAACTTGAACCTTATAAGCGTGAAATATAGGAGCTTGAGCGGTGTGAGCGGTGGAATATGAGCAATGTAATTGTGAACGACGGAAACGGCTTTTTTCTACTTGAGGGGATTTGGTTTTATGAGAAATTCATTGATTTACTGAGGATATCTGAAGGCTACGAGGCTTAAATATAAGAGTTTGAGTCCTATGAGTATCGAGAGTACGACAGCTTGAGCCTTATGAGCGCCGAATACCGAACTTTGAGCCGCGTGAGCATTTAAAATATGAGTTTGAGTCTTGTGAAATCAGTTATTGTGTGTCTTGTGAGCATTAGGTATCGAAATTGAGGAGAGAAGTTCGAGAGTAATTATGCTCATTATCGATATACAAAGTCTGTGTACTTTTGTCCCTTTGACGTTGTATTTTTCTACTTATATTTCCGAAAAGTTTCAATTATATTTGTCATCGTGTATCCAATTTACAAACTGGAGGGCCTTTTGACGTATCGTCAATTCAGGTAGTACATTTCACCAAATTCAGTAAAGATTTCCACTCCATCAAAGACTTGTCAAGAAGAGAATAAAAAAAAATACCTTAGACCTCCCCTGCACACGTTTCCCAGAATTGAGGGTAATCCAGGCGTCCCAGCGGTGCCTGTAGACATTGAGCGTGTTCCACTCGTTCAACTTGACGGTCTCAGTGCTCCTTACAACACCGACACCACTCCCACAATCGAATCTGCGGGGACGATCAATAATTCAATATTGAATAGGTTACACTTTTTCAAATGGCATGTGATTGAATCAACAGACATTGATGAAATTCACCTGAATTCGATGAAGCCGTGGTGAAGAATCACAGCCATGAAGTCACCTTGGAGATCATCACGCTCACCGGTTAACAAAAGAATTCCATTCCATGCTTCAGGACGAAATTCTAAGTCTAATTGGATATGTTTGTAAGCTGCTTTCAATGCTGGAAATGCCAGCCAACTTGATCCCGTGAAGCGGGGCGACTTAACTTGAATCTCTGAAACAATAATGATGGAGTGAGTTTTTTTTAGTTTTGGTTGAGTAAAAGGATTGGATTACGTGAGGAGATCCTGTTACATTTAATTCGATTCAAATGAACATTTCCATTCTTGATAATAAAAAGTGGGAATGCTTGCATTCATTTCGGGAATCAATTGTGAAAAATGGACTGAATCAATGAAAAGAGAAAAATAAAATGGCGCGAGATTCGCGATGCGCAAACGGCAATGAAGCTGATTTGAAATAATAAATAGAGCCGGCAGGTTTATGATTGAATATAGATAATTAAAGAGCGATATGAATGAGAAGATTATAATTAAATCCGAGTGATTTTTTTGAGAAAAACGCCGATCATGGATGTTCGGGATCTGCGAGCGCGAAATGTAAGGGCTTCAGTCCCATGTGTATTGAGGATATGAGAGTTTGGACCTTGTGAGCGCAATATATCTAACTTTGAGCGGTGAGAGTATTGAAAATATGAGTTTGAGCCTTTTAAATAATGAACAGACAAAAGTTCGAGCGTCAAGTTTTCAACTCTGAGCCTTGTGATCATTACAAAGATTATGGAGTATGAGCGTAGGTTTGAATCTTCACATTTAAAAATTTATGGAGTTATATATCCAATTAAATTTGACCAGATTCGTAATCTCTCATGGCTTTCGACAATGATTCTACATTTTCAACAAAAGATGCTTTTTGTCATTTCCTCCTGCACCCGCCCGTTACAACCCCCTGATTACCTAGAAATAAAATAATATATAATTCATCCTCTAATACTTAGAATTGATATAATTCTCATAAAAACTAAATACACTACCATAGGATTGACCCAAGAGCTAACGGGGATGTAAATCCACTACCTGGAGATTACATGATAAAATAAGAAACTTTATAAAGACCATTTTCATGCTCCTCTAGCCCAGCAACTATAAAATCCATATGACATTTTACGACGTTTCTCCAAGAGGGTGGGTTTTGATGACGATAATCCTAAATGCACCTGTGGCACAGTAGCGAGCATACTAGTGGAATGCAATCGATAAGCTCGGCAGCAGTCTGCCGGTGGTGGTCATGTGGAAAATTCTATTGTCAGACATTCGAGTATAGGATCACTACTCTCTCTCCACTTTCTTTATTGATTTATCGACGTTAAATTGCAACGAACTGTGACTTAGGCGGTTATTCCGAGTTGAAACTCGCTAATGAGTTGGTTTCGATAAAAATGTTGGCCCAAACTTCATCCTGAAGTTTATTGGAAACATACATAAAATATAAAATAGCAAATCGTAGGGATGAAACTGAGTTTGGGGCTTGCTAATGAGCATAATTATTAATATTAATCTTCCTTTGAGCTCCCCTCATCGAACACTGATCCATTCCCAACCTCTCATATCGCGCCTCCATTCAAAAGTTCTATTTCTAAGCTGTCATCTTTATTTCCATTCTCTGAGCTGATTTTTCTGATCTTCGCCATGGCAGCCTCTCACATATGACCCCGTTCTCTCTATTTTTGGAAAACACATGCACAGGCTAGACTGATGCTACATTCATAATCTCTGAATGGTTTGTGTCTGCATACTCGATTACTCTTACTGCTCAAGTTTCTATATTGAACGCTCATAAATTTCAGAATGCCATACCTCACGTTCACAAGGCTCGGAATGATCAATTTTACGCTCACAATTCTCCAACTTTTCACCCTTCTATTACCCCAAGTACGTTTCCAAATACGTTTCTTCTAAAAGTTCTATATTTGGCGCTCACAAGACCGAAACTGTTATATTTTCGATACTCATAGAACTCAAACTCCTATATTTGATGATCACAAGAATGTAAATAATCAATTTGAGTCTCATAATTCTTGAACTGTGGTATATTTGACATTCCCAGGACTCAAGCTCATGCTCACACAGCTCAAAGGCCTGTATTCAGCGCTCATAAGGTTCTAATTTTCCCAGCAAATCAATGAATTCGTCGAAAGGATGAAAAACACAGTTCCCTTCAACCCATTAGTTATTTACCGAATAATATAAACAGAATTGTTGACACGTACTACTCTTCCACTATCGATTTATTGAGGTTAAATGGCAACGAGTTGTTGGCCTGGAGAGCTAACTCCCCCAGAATATTCAATTTTTTTCCGTACTCAGTGAGCTCAATATTTTTTCACCTCGTTGTTAGCGAAGAAGTTTAAAGTCATAAACTCCAGAGACCAGACGCACCCGCACCTTGACTCGGTCCCGTTAATTGCTTCGTCAATACTTTTACAACGCTGATGGGGTGGGTTCAGTCACGCAATTTCCATGCGAGAGAAATTTCATGATATTACATAATATGGGTAAATGAATTATTTCAGGGTAACGGGGGTTGCAAGTGCACAAATTCTGAATTACGCATTGAGACTTGGATTTAATAATGTAGTTTTAGAGACGTTTTATGGCAAATGGCGATCGTTGGTTTACACAGAAGTCTTATTAAAGTTTTATTAAGTCTTGAAATGGTTTTCATACGATGAAAATAGTTGATAAAATGGGTTTTCCATTAGAAATGTTTTCGTTATTTTATGAAAACCATTTTATCATTCATCATTTTCCATTTTTCTATCTATAAAACACAAAATATGATGACAGAGACTAAACCAGAGAGACGAATGGAGTGATCACTAATTATTTCGATAATTAACAATAAATAATTAAGATGATTCCACTAGTAAAACATGCAATTAATTAATCAATTATTTGTTGATGTATAATTGATGATTGATTAAAAATTAATAATGAATAAAATGTCGTCACTAGAACTGAAAAATTTCTTATTAACTAGCTAATTACCACCATAATCCATCATTCTACGAAAAATATCACCGTACCGTCTGTCTCACCAATTAAATTCCCCACAAAAAGGGTCTCTTGACATTTTCCCCCTAAACTCACTCATTACCAAGATAATGAGATAATCAATAAAGGGAGTAGAGTGAACTCAAACAATTTCACGAGTGAAATAATAGGTCGGGAGCAATGTGTAATCGTAAAAAAAAGTCTAGTATTGATTTTACCATTTTGGCAACGATCGCCGACTCTGCCCAGTGGGCATTGGCACCGCTGTCTGAAGGCAATTCTCCGGCGTCCAACACTTCCGGTATATCCACTGCCCATTTCGTCCTCCGTTTCGTCAAGGTCATGCAATTGCTCGATGTAACAATTTCCCACTGGTCCACAATCGAGAGAACAGACTGGCTCGGTTATTGACACACTCTCAGTTGTTACTGGCACCTTCTGCTTCAAGTTTGAACCCTGAAATGTAATAACCTGGAGTCAATAAGTCGGCTTTCATTAATCCGTCAATATTGCTGTGAAGTATTGCAATTGAATGGATGAAAAAAAAAAATGAATGAAATTGGGAGCATTGAGAGACAGCATTCAGTGCGAAATAGATTGGTGGAAGGGGATTATTTTGACGAGGTCTTGAAAACCGTGGGGTTTAGAGAATAATTGCGATGGGATATATTTTTTGGGGAGAATTGATTTTTTAAGAGAAATATTCTTTGAAGTTTTAGGGAGTGGTTTGGGAAATAAATAGAGATGATGGGTTTGAGATTGAGTTGTAATGAATGGCGCCGAATATAAATGGTTGGAATCTGTGAGAGTTGACTGTAAAAGTTTGAGTCCAGTTTGAGCCTTGTGAGCATTATATGTAGAACTTTGAGCCGTACGAGCCTTGAATACATAAGTCTGAGGCTTGTGAATGCTGAATATACAAGTTTGGGAATTATGAGCGTGAAATTGGTCATTCTGAGGCTTGTGAGCATCAGGTAGTGCAATTTGAGCCTTATGAGCAGCAAATGCAGAACTTCGAGCCGTATGAGCATTGAAAATGTGAGTTTGAGCTTTGTAAATGTCGAAGGCACAATAGTTTGAAAATTATGAGCATGAAATTGATCAGTCCAAGCGTTGTGGGCACCAGATATCACAATTTGGGCTTTGTGAGCACAATTGAAGGAGTTTGAGTAACATGAGCACTCGAACATAAAGAATTAGAAAAATTTAGAGATTATGAATATGACAATAGTACATTTTCAGCGTGTATTTTCAAAAAAAAGAATGAGTGAATGATATAACAAAAAACACTGCAATACGTGAGTGAGCCTACAAATATAATCCTACAAATATGACGCCACATTACCGTCTGTTTGCCCCTACAAAATAAACTCTCGCGAAGTAGAATGCAAATTACAAACTTTTTGCCATCAACATAACTTTAAATCCCACCTACCCCCCCCCCCCTCCTTTTTTTTTCTCTCCGAAAAAAATGGAGATTAATGGCCGGCGCGTTTATTTGTCAGAGATACAGAGTATTCAGCTTAATAAGTGACACGAAAAAATCCTGGAGTAATTAGTGATTACACAAGGTGCTCAATTACCTCAGAGGTTGGATGTCCAGTCGGTATTTCATTGGACTCATCGTCTCGTCTCGTTCCATTCGATCTACTACCACCGACCTGGGGATTTATGTGAATCTTCTGGGGACGATGTACATCACCATTTTCACTGGTATCTGGATAATTTTTCATACTCAATCGGTTAACGTCATCCTCAGTCGACCCATGAATATCACCTGTTGACGGCAATGTTGAATTCAACTCTGTGGAAGTAAAAATATAAATATGCGGGACATCGGGCGATGCGATATGATATAAATAAATGATGGAATTTGAGGTGAATTTGGTGGACAATTGGGGGGGTGTTTGATTATATTTCGGGTGAATATGTGGGTGACGCTCTGGTCAGCCTCCGGATGCCTCATCTGTCATTCAGAGGAGCCTCTGGAACTTGATGCGAGGGCACTGATATGTTTGATTGTCGGTGGGGGAGATTAGCAAGGTAGAAGGTCGGTTAATTAGGGTTTATTTGATGGGACGAATTGAGATGTTGGGGAGTGTTTGTTTGTGCACGGGTAGGAGTGGGTTTAGGAGGAATTTTTTCAGACCGAGTGAATTTCCTACAAAAATGTCTTGACGTTGGACATATTTAACTTTGATTCATTGATTAACTGCTTGACGTCAAATTCTTTGTTTCATTATAATCCCAAACATTTTATAGTTGTGAATGTAAAATGACAATGAAGTACTTGAATTTTTTTATGATGATGATCCTTTGGAGATTGTAATGAATTGAGCCTTGTGAGCGCTGGATATAAATGTTTGGGATCTGCAAGAGACAAATATAAGAGTTTAAATTCTATGAGTATTGAGAATATGATGTTTTTGGCAGTATGAATGCAAAATAAGCGACTCTGAGCATTGGAGTTATAACTTTGAGCTTTGTAAACGTCGAATATACAACAGTTTGAGGATTGTGAGCATCAAATTAGGCATTTCGAGTCTTATGAGCACGAGCTACTACACCCTAGGCTCTCTGAATACAGATGTTTGGGATTCTCCAGCGTCAAATGTAGAAGTTTGAACCTTATGAGTGTTGAAAATCCGACAATTCGAGCCTTATGAGCGCCGAATTTAGAACTTTGAGCCGTATGAGCATTGAAAATGTGAGTTTGAGTCTTGTGAATGTTGAATATACAGCGCGTTGAGGATTATCAGCATCTGATTGGTCACTGAATCAACTCAGAACTATCTCATTATCAATAATGATCGTTACAATCAATCAATTCATTAATTAAAATTCCTCGTTTAATTCTCCCACTTCTTGATGATTGAAAAATGTCCATTAAAAATGTATAAAATTATTCCTTACCGGGATAATCCTACAGTGAAAATCCTAAACGCTTTATGCATATGAAATTGAAATGATAGTGAAGCACTCGTCAGTTTCCGGCTGACTCATCAGTCATTCAGAGACTCCACTGACACTTGATGCACTAGTATTGACACGCTCAATTGTTCATGAGCGTTATTAATGCGGGTATGGTCATCGTATATTAGATGAGATGAGGGTAAATGGGGTAGAACGAATGGCAATGCCGAGGGTGAATGGAATATGTTGGTTATCAGTTGGTGCTGTAAGACTCACCTGAACAACTGTAGCCATTCTTGTGCAGGATGTAACCGTCTCTGCAGTCGCACTCGTACATGCCGTCGTGTAACTCGTAGCACAGTTGTTCGCAGGGTGAATTATGACCGCATCTTCCTGTGATAAACCAACGTGTTTAGGTAATTAGGGGCTTGTTGGTATTATGGAGATTTGATGGAGGGGCTTTAGGGGGTGTTTATTTATGCTGGTTAATTGGCGAAATAGGGGCGTTTATCCAATGGATTGTGTAAGCGTGGATTAGGAGAATTTTTGGGAGTGAGTTTCGAGGAACTTTATTGTTTTTTAAATCCCGGGGGAAAATGGGAAAGATAAGGTAAAATTAGTCATCTACATGAGATTACACTGTTGGAAAAAAAAGAAAGTTCAGAAAATGGAATTGGAATTAATAGTTCTCTTTGATTTTTCCGCGAAATTATGAATTTTTAATGACGAAATTCCTTGAAATTTCAGTGGTAATTAAATTCGATAAAAAATTTTAACAGTCTACATAGTTTCTGCGATTTTGAAGTCCAAAAAATTTCGTGGAATCATTTTTGGTTAGATTTAAATAATTAATTAGCAAATAATTTCTTATTTAATTCAAACGGTTATTGTTGCCTTCATCAACAACATATGAGGATGGAAAAATTCAATAACTTGTGAGAATGCAATAAATTGAGTCATTTAAAAAATTTTCCGGAAATCCATTGGCACTAACTTTTGGGTAATATTGTCTCAGGATATACTTTAAAGTTTTTATGGATTCAGAGGATCGAAGGGAACAGGGGAGAACCCTGTGTTCGAGTATTTTTTCTGTTTTGTTTATTGTTGGAGATGTCACTTCATCATACTCACCGAGACAATTAAACGGGCTTGAATGGAATAACAGGTGAAAAAAAAATGGATAGTCGAGCGGAATGTTTTGTTTCAATTAGGGGAACAAGTTTTTTCAAGTGGGAATTCATGACTCGAGTGATTTGTTTCAGGTTTCGAGGGTTTGAAATGTTTCAGGATGAGATAATGATCTGTCATTCAGCTAGAATGGGGAGAAATGGGACAAACAGGATCAGACGGATCATCCGAATTCCCTACACAGAGCAAAAAATTTCGTAATATGTAGACCATGTTTACTTGAGAGAAGTAAATTATGTTGAATAAATTCTCGGATGAATTCGCCGAATTCACTGTCGTTCCGGGTTATATCATGAATATATTACATATCGAAACATTGGTAGATAGAATTTTTTCAACAGCTGCAGAATGGCATAAACATTGATTGGATGAATTTTTATTCAGTTTTGCGGTCATTTGTAATTCCTCGGATGCTAGTGAGGTACATTTTTCTTTAGCGCTTTCATTTGAATCTCATCAAATTCGAACTTCTAGCATTATAGCCATTCTCCATTCTCTATGAACAACATGGTACACCGTAAAAAAGCCCATTTTCCAGGGATATACCTTAAATGTCAGTAAACACGGAAAATTACCTTGAAATGCAGCTTCAAAGGTTGTCCGCTCATCGATTGAGTTCTGGGAGACCACCAGGTCCATCAATCCCAATAGAATGATCACATAGTACTGTCCCGCCATCGTTCAACACGCACAAACACTCACGTTAATTATTCTTTTTGTACGCATGCGTTTCACTCCACGAATTATCTGCGACAAACAGCAATTATTGTCACTGTTTACCCCCGTTGCTTTCTGGAATTTCCCAACATTTCTATTACATCTCTGATGCAGGGATTCGGGGGCGATATTTATGAGCATTAAAAATTCATTTTCGAGGGGGGAAGAATTATTCAGGAAACGTAGACTCCAGCATGTGAAACGTTTTGCGGATTAATTATTTATGGCAACAATGATCATAAATCGTGGATTCAGTAGTGGTGGCATTGGACTAATTAAAAATTATGAGTGCAGGGTTTTTGGGGTGTCTTGGGAGTGCTTTTGGTGGGATATTTGGGAGATATTTCAAGTAGAATTTCTTGGATTATGAAAAATACTCCAGTCGTCTTTACAATTGACCCTAAAGAGGATTTGGCCGTTCATTATTATTTTGAGGACACACTGAGAGGAAAAATTAGCTCTGTCGAAAAACTGTGTTCCATGTAAGAATATTTAATGGAGTGGAACAGATTTACTTGAGGGAAATTGACAAACTTGATGAAAGGAAATTTAATATCTTTCACAAAAATTAAATTTTTGTCGTGATCATTAGAAATTTCGGTATTATAAAAATCCAAATCGACTTCTGGTGATAAAATTTTGGTACTCGAATTGGAGACTTCAAAATTGAAGGTCGCAAGGGTTGAGAGGGTCATGAAGGTTCGCATAAGGGTGACAACGGTCAGATTGAGGGTCACGAGGGTCACCAAGGTCAAAACAAGTCACAAGGGTTATAATGAGTTTCAGATTAAGGATCCAAATAAGGGTCAGATTAAGGGTC